TAGCAATTGGGAAGTTACTCTTTACGCTGTTCCGGAAAAAGGTATTATGCAGCCGTCACTGCATTTACAACAGGAATAAAAATATTCATGAAGCATTCAACAAGACACCAAGGTCACAGTAAAAGCAGTACAAGAAAGGCCCGCCTCAACTTAAAGAGAGTGAAGGTCAAAAGCAGGGGGGAGGAGAGGAGGAAGCAAACCCCTCCCCTCTCTGTTCTCAAAGAGTCCAAAGTGCTTTACAACTTTAACAGATATAGAAAGCAACTTCATGGATCACCTATGCCATTGATGCAATCATTCTGCCTACCACTTAAGAGCCCTGACCTCTGAGGCTGAACAGTGGATCTTTAAGTTCACCGCAGTTTTACATAAAGAGCCTAAGGTAGAACAAATGCAATCATACCCATAATGGTGTCCATCCTCAACAGGACTCATGCTCTCAATTTTGCAAGATATGCCACTGAATTAATCCAGACCTCTGACATCACTTCTCAGGACTTTTCCATCTGGGATATTCAGTTCTTGACTACATTACAATTCTGCCAGTAAAGTCAATAATCACACCCTATTCAATGATGTAGCCCAAGCGTAAAATCCCCAGCATGAACAAATTCTGCCAACAGAGGGTCAATTCTGTTAGCAGCACTTCTCTTGTCTGGGGCAGGTGATTTAATTCTGGCACTTGAAAAACTCTGCAGAGCTGTATCAAACACTAGAGAGCCTGAACATTTTATCACTTCAGACATCATTAAAGCATGTGAAACCTTGGTCTGGATGGTCTCTTTAAGCAGTATAGTGACATTTACTTATTAATTCACTGAATTAAGCTAAACCAATCTAAAGTTATTTTATTGCTGAATAAATGTCAGTTCCCAGGTTTTTCTGGGCTTTAACTAATGCTCTTTGAATTCTCATCTTTAGTTAATTCAGATTAACTGTCCTTAGTGTCCCACTTCCATTTGCTGAACCATTAACACCATTTCCAGCAGCACCAATAAAGAGGTGTCAAATTCAGAGAGGGCTGAATGTAATTTAGGCTACTTTACTATGGGAGCTGCTGTTGCCCCCAATAACAGAACTATGAAGGCAGCCAGGCCCCCAAATACCTACACAGCTCTGCCAGAGCTATACCAGCTCCTCTTAACATCCTCTCCCAGTACAGCTGCACCCAAATCAAAAAAATTTGCTGACAAAGCCATATCAGCTAGCAAGCCTGACCCTTCCACACCCATAGCCCAAACAGAAATTGTAATGAAGATCTAGGCTTTGGAGAATAACGACAAAACAATTTACCAAGGGTTACAAAGAAAGAGGTAGGGCTTACTACACATGAGCTGCTTTTAAATAACTGCCTGTGTACATGCTCTTCTACATCACAAGCAGAGGGGAGAGAGCAGAGCTTACAGCTCTGTTTCAGGCTGTTTGTTTGCAGACTTGGGCACAGTAAGTTACTTTGGTTACATTATGTTGATATGTGGAAGGTTTCCATAAAGTTTCTTTTGGTGCTTTGAGGACTGTAAATTTAATTCTTTCTAAATAAAAACTCTGAATCTGGTCAATCTGAATAAGTTCTGGGAGTCAAAGGAACATACCAATTGTGCCAGATCCAATCACTTGCAGATACATCAAACATGTAGCCCAAAGTGGTTCATTGGAGGTCATGCATCCTCACAATGATGCATCACCACTCTATGAGCTGAAGATGTTATGGCATTACAGCACAGCCTGGGGGGTCTTTGTGTTTCAGTCAAGGAAGAGGGGACTGTAAAACTCAGGAACTCCCTGCTAAAATGGTACTAAAAATCAAGAATTTTTATAAAAGGCAAAGTACAACTTAGTACCATTGCAGAAATTCCCTACTATATATTTATTTCCCCTAACACTTGCCCTCTCTGAAGTGTTACCAACACACGTCCACTCCACATAGTTTTCAAAACAATGCTTTAAAGCTTTTGAGTACAGAAGCTGCAGCTTTTTTAGCAGTTCAAGATAGCAGTGTAATCAAATCACTTCCTATATACCTCAATGAGGAGTAAAGACAGCACAGACTGTTTCAGAATCTTTTGATAAGAACCTAATAACCATGGAAGCAAAGCTGGAGTACTTGTGACACCACCAGAACTGTTACTGCAGCTGTCCATCATTTATTTGAAAACTGGGGAATATAATGGAGGCAAATATTTGCCATTTACGTATGCCTTTCTATTAAGAGCCAACCTATTTCTAAGTTTCCTTTATTCACAAAGTGCTTGCGAGAGTTACTGTTACAAATCCTTTGACGATTTTACATTAGGATTTTGTACTGACCATGGCATGCTCCATTCATGCTCCTGGCAGTCTCCTCCCAATTCATTCAGGGCCTCTTGTGTTCTTATTCTCCTTGGGGTTCTGTTTGTAGTGCTACAAATATTGGTCCATGACCTCTGGTATCAGGCCACCTCGAAGCTGATGTGGTTCAAGTCTTACTGTTCCTTTTCCATAGGAGAGTTTAGCTTAAAAATCTAACATTATGTACATAGTGAAGAAGTTTCAGTCATGCTTTGTGATTATGGATTCAATATAAAACACATGATGTCACAGTCATAACTTGTTCTACTCAAGAACATCATCAAATGAAAGAAAGAGTCAAGGTTTTTCACCTGCAATTGTTATAAGTAGTGAGTACGATTATTAAGCGAACATGTTTTCAAGCTATACCTGAAGGTGTTGAGAGGAAAAATACCCCCGGTTTTCAGTTGTTTTATGCATATGGCAGTACTTTGATTTTAAGTTAGCGGTCTTCTCATACTGCCTCAGTTTTAACACAATTGTTAACATCCGAAATGCGGGCATCACACTTTAAGAGGGATATAGAGAAATGGGAAAAGATCCTGAGGCCAGTAATAAATAATAAAAGGGCTGGAATGCAATCCACATGGCAAAAGGTTGAAGAAACAAGGTATACATGGTGCAGCAGAAAGCCTAACATTTGAAAGGCTACTATAAGATGGAGATTCCACTCCCCTCTCCAACCCTTAACACAGAGGAAAGGGCCCAAGGAAAAGTGGTTGATCTGCAGGTTTGGTACAGCCTTTGTAGACCTGGAAAAGGTACACAACTGTCTTAGAGGGCTAGTGCTAAAAGATGCATCAGAACGATGTGCAACAATGTGTGTTCCACAGGTAAAAAGTAAGCTGGACTAGAATACAGAATCTGCAATACGTGTTGGCCTACATTCCAATCTATTCCTATCTGGGGTTGCTGTGGATGTGGCAAATGAAAATATTCAAGGGAACAGCCTCAGAATATACAATTTACTGATGGTTCGGTGACATGTGCACAAGACTGTAATGTTCTTCATGTCAATTTTGAACACTGGTAATGCACTGTTGAGCAGCCTGGACCTAAAGTGAACATCAGGAGACCACAGCATAGCCACCAAGGGAAAAAGGGCTCACTATGAAGGAGGTCACAGAAAAAGAGGCTTAAAAAGAGCGAGGGAATCCAAAATACTTTCCGATTTGTGGTTGCTTATGATAGAGCTGCCTCTGTAATTTCTACTATCAAAGCTGCTCAAAGTAATAGAACCTGATTTTTAAAAGTTAAGATGTAGGAATTTATAATTCATCCCACCTTGACGGACAGAATGAAGACCTGGTCAGCCACAAGTCAACAAGATCTCCAGCATAGATATAAAGATGCTGAGGTAATCAAGGGTTCGAAGCTCTGTTACAGGAGCCAAAATTAAAGTGCGAGAAGCCTAGGAAGGGTTGTTTCAACTGAAGACAAGTTGACAAAAGTTAGGATACACCGCACAACGTGCCCACACTAAAGGACTGAGGACTAAGTGGACAGAAGGAATACCAGAAACAGGGTGGGTGGAGGAAAGAAGGGGACTAAGTACATGGAGGTCAAATCTGCTCACAGTGGTTAAGCACATAACCATAAGTTGTGGCAGGAGGCAAAAAGCTGATAATTCTAAATAGGAAGTGACAGTAAAGAAGATACAGATAAGCTGAGAAGCACAAATTCCATCAGTTGAATCAGCCCAGTTCATGGTGGTTACATCTGACACAGACTATAAAGCCTCCAAGAACAGAGAAGCTTAGAGTTACAGATTTCATTGTGCCAGAAGCCAACATTTTCTTCAGGTTCCAGCACTGTTGGCAGCATCTGATGTGCCTAACCACACCCTGCCTTTTTTAAGGGCTCCATCTCTACACCACATCTATGAACACTGTCACTTTGTTTTTGTAGTATTTCTTTAAAAAAAAAAGAAAAGACACTAAATTAATACAGAGACTATCAAAGAATTTTATTTATTAAAAATAAATAAATAAGAAATTTAAGAGAAGGTGCCCAAAATAAATATTTGCATAGTACAAAATCCCATCCACTTTTGACACTGAAAGTCCTTTCACACAGAGTCATTGTACGATTAATTATTCATCACCCACATTCTCAATATGGAACCCAAAAGTATTCTGCTGGAAACAACATTACAGTATGAATAATCAGAGCTATTAGCTTAACAGCATATTACTATACAAACTTTTGGCTTCATTTCTTGATATTAAAATGTCTTAAACTACCATCATACAGATTTAGACATACAACTCCCTCAGTCTGTGGACATTGCAATAGCTGTAGTAGGGTCTATTACGGCACAATATTAGCAAGAAAATGCTTTTAATAAAAACTGTTAAATAACAAATTAATTGATACAAATGAACCAGAGATGACAATTTTCAGCCACAATTAGAAGTGTTGAATGTCAGAAACCCTCAAAATAAGGAATTTCACAGATAGATCATCAACTAATCTGTTATAGCAGAATTACTATTTTTGTAGCTCAAAAGCACAAACGGGCAATTAAAAAAAAGCTACAATTTGAAACCAAATCCCTAATTTTGTGTGTTAAGAGACTTCCCACAGCTTAAATGGTAAACAAGAAAGACTGCTTTCATAAGGTCAGTTTGTGGGAGCTTCCCCATAATTTTTATATCAAACTTTAACTTTACCTGTACAGAAACGGACACGGAGAGAAGCAATTCAACATGGCTCTTTCTGAAATGATATACTGAAGTTTGGCAGCAGATTGTTTCCTGTAGAGCCTGTAAGAAAAGAAAATGAGACTAGTTAGGCACCTTAAAAATGCTCTATAGTTTTATAAGAGAAGCTATGGGGCAGGATACCAATATTAGTTGTCACTGGTGTGTACATTTTGAATAATTTTATTTAATAAAAGTTCTAATACTAAAGTCAATTGTTGATTTTTTTTTTTTAAATGTAATGTGATCCTGAACCGCAGCCTGCCACAGTTCATTTTTATTTTTCTGTACACTAGTTTGGTACTGACACAGAGGCATGCTACCATAACATTTTATGCATGTGTACAGAAAAGAAAAAGCCTTAATTCACCCTTCTTTCTGATAAGCAGAATAGCTGTAACCAAGAAGAGTATTACACAGTCTGGTTGGTGGTTAATGTAAACATTTTGAAAAACAAGGAGATCTGAACTTAGTAAAACTTCCACAGCAATATTCTCATATTAGTGAACATACATGACCCATAAAGTATCTTTAACACTTAGTGGGACTATTTATTATCCTTGTTTTTAGCACTACAGAATTAAAAACTTAATAGCAGCTATACAGCTTTTCCATGGTATCAAACTGTGATTAAATAGTATGTTAGCAATTTTCCCATCTCAAGCTCCACTCCAAGATGCCAAAAATTAAGCATGAATTTACAGTAACATTTTGCTTGGGGGCAGGATAGAGTAAAATTATTCTTTTAAGGAACCGGCTGTTAGAAACTAGGGCCAGGGTGTGTGCGCACGACACTTTAAAGTGGGCTAAACGCTTTTGCACCGCTTTAATAGTGTCGGTGTTTGTACACCTTGGCAACCTATTGTGCGTTAATTCCAGCCACTATACGAAATTTGGTGGCGTAATGCGCCTTAAATGACTTGGGCCACAGCAAACTAAAACCCCCTACAGCCGCAGAGCAAAGCACCAGGCTCCGTGAAGCTCCTCGGCTCTGCAGGCCGCCTGGCAGCAGTCTGGGAAAACAAGCACCGCCCAAGAAAAGCGGTGAGCCTGATCTTCCCTTCCCTCTCCAGGCCCCCCCGCACCAGGCCTGCCTGTCTGCCTGAGCTGCACAGGGGCCCAGGGGCTCCATGGTGGCAGTGCCCCCCAGGGCAGCTCAAGCTGTGTGCCTGCGGGCAGGCGCCATGGTGGGGGTGCCGCAGCTGCCGCAGAGGGAAGCACCAGTCCCCCCGCAGCCCAGGGACCACGCTGCCTGCCGGAAGCTCGCCCTCTCCTCCCTGCCACCAGAGAGGCAGGTAATTCAGTGGGGTGTGTGCACGACATGGGGGTTTAAAAATCAGTGTTTTTAAAAACCCTATCCTATTACTCAAAGGCAAATCAGATAGCTCTATATACTAGCGAACTGTCTTTTATTGCTCAGAGACAATATTACGGTAACTCAAAACACACTGCCTCCTAAAATTAACATATACATTTATAATATATTGACTGTGGCAGGCCTAGAAAGCAGTAATAGCAAGTTAGAACCTGCCTTATTGCTAGGGACACGCTGAATTCACAATTGTGCGATTTTCACGGAAAAAGGAAAAATCGGATGGGCTCTGAGAAATGGTGTGGGAGCTGCAAAAAAACCAAAACAAAACAAAAAACAAGCAAACAAACAATTTGAATTGATTGATTTTGAATTCCTCAAAATCAAGCTGTAAGCAGCAAAAAGGACAAGAAACCCTGCAGTCCTGAAACACGATAGGGAAGGAGATGGGGAGGGGGCAAATCAGAGGCTGAGCCTGTGACAGTCTCGGTTCAGGAACCAGCCTGGGACCAATCAGGAAGTGGGAAAGTTTTGGCACCAACTTAAAGCACCCACAGGCATGCTGGTACAGCATGCTGCAGCCTGCGGAGGATTCTTCAGCATGACCACCAAAAAGAAATCCTCTACAATGGCCAAATACGTTTCAGCGCTGGACTGTGTAAGACACTATCCTGCAGGGACCTTACATGCAGATAAAGGCAGACTGTTCTGTACCGCCTGCAGTACAATTCTGCATGTGTAGAAGAGAACCAGCATAGATCCACACTTAGAATCCAAGTCACACATGAAGCAAAAGGCTGTTGCAGAGGTTGAGAGTCAGAGCAAGAAACAAGCAACCATGTCCTCGCTCTTTAAAAGAACCACAGAAAGCAGCCTGGCAAGGTGAGAGGTGGCATTTTCCCTCAGAGGCTTTCACAGCAGCATCAAAAACACACTGGAGAAACACGATCACCCAAATTTAGAGGAACTTACCTGAACCAAAACATGCCAAATGATGGCCATTTTCTGAGTGCCAAGAAGCTTCAACAAGACTATCTTCCTGCAGTAATCGCTTCGCATGTACAGTCCACAAAGTCTGCATTGGCAAAGTGTGAATCTTTCTCCATTGTGGCTGATGAAGCCATTTGATCCTCAAAATAACTACATGCTGCACATTTGATTTGTACCAGGGATCTGGACAGATTGTGACCTGCCTGTATTCTTAACAGAGCCAGCCCACATCACATCTGTCAATTTTTCTACTGTCTCAAGCCATAGCGAAGGTAACTTGTCAGCTACAGCTTAAAATGTAACAAGATCTCCATATTCCTGTCCAACGATGTCATGTACACATGCAAGGCTTTCTCTGATATGCTGCAAGGAATACTGCCCAATGCAGTTCTTGTCACCTGCAATGCGCACCTTGGCTGCGTCCAGATGAGTGTGGCTGTGCGGTACGTGGCACCACAGACATTTCTGCACTGCAGCACCACATGTTCAGCTGTTCTCTGCACTGCAAGGAAGCAGCATTTGTGGGGGGGAAAACCCAGGTAAGGCTGCTGGAGGCAAGCCCAGTGCTGGCCCCGCCTCCTCTACCCCACCCAGGGTAACCTGCCACATGTCAGAGGGTGCATGGCACAGGTGTTCCCTGCTGACAAGTAGCAGTGGCACAAGGTGTGCTGTTAGTTGTCCTTGGGGAACCAAATGACTATGCTCATGCTGATGTGGTCATACTGTCTTTAGTGAGGTGACATCTGATGCACACAGTTCCCCAATGTAGACAGCTCAGTGTCCTCCTCCAAGAAAGCCTTCAAGCACTGTCCAGGTCATAAGGTCCAGTACAGGGAATCCATCGCCAGTCAAAGTGGGGGCTTGCATGCCACTGTGCCACTGCCACCAGAGTTTGTGCTCACAACGTGGAATTCATGGTTCAACGCAGTCTGTTACCACGCCTAGCATATACAATACTATCAGCAGTTTGTGAGCAAAGAGCTGGAAATCACACCTAGCATACCATGCATACTTAAACTTCGCATTCTCTTAAGCTGAGGCAACATTCCAGATCAAGTGACGTCTGTGGCTGAAAATGCCACCCAGTTCATAGAGTTTCTAACATGGTTTGAAGGCCAGCAGGCTGTGATCTACCACACAAACACACAAAGCTGATGGATTTGGTAAACTGGATCAAAAACAGGGCATCATAAAAACTGTGAAGCTGTCCTCATGAAAACTAGTGGAGACAGGAACTGGTCCAGGCAATACCTATGAAGCTGAACTAATACAGGTACAACCCATCACTGCCACAACAGTTAAGTCAATTGTCTGCCTCCTTCCTTAGTGCTGTTCACATTTTGGACTCCAACCAACTGCCTGTTCTGTGTTGTGACCCTCAGCTACTGAAATAAATCCCTGGAGGGCAGAACGAGCATGACAACAAACGTGCTGCTTACGTGAACTTTATCAAAGAGTGCCGGATGCTTGTACTTGTACTGTCACATGCACTTGTACTTCTGGTACTCTGTCCATCTGTGACCAGCTTCCATATCCCTAAGCCCCAATGAAACGCTGCCCCACTATACCAATAAACTCAGAGTACAGACAAGTGTTCACCCCATAGAGACAGAGAATGTCAGCAGCAACTGCCGCTGGATGCAGCATGCTAGCAGTTTACAGCTAGCATGAATTGCCCTTGTCTCAAGGTTAGCATTCAATTTCAGTAAACTCCTTTTTATAATGTCCTTTATAAATGTGCATATATAGTTGCTATTAGTTACAATTCATGTTGTATATAGCTTTATTTTAATAATTAAACTCTAAACTGAAATATCTTAAGTGCTTAGATTGCTTAATAACATGTCAATTAATGACTTCCGGGGGCACAGAGGATTAAGCCCATGGAAGCCATTAAGGGAAACACTGTTAAGCAATTAAGCTGTGGTTTAGGGCCATCTGGCAATCTGGGAAGGGCAGGACTTCCGGGGCCCCTTGGCTAGAGGTGTTGGGGGCCTGCCACACACAGCCTGTGAAAGTGGCAGCTGACCCTGGGATATGCTCACGAAAATCGGCCAGCTGCCTCCTCCAGTTCAGCAGACCCCTACTTATTGCCCCCACGTATTCTATAGCCAGGCTGATTTCCCTTTCATCTAATCACTCTCTGGCTGCTGGAGTGAAAAGGTACGAGTGGCTGCAGGATATGGTGACATTCAACAGTAGCTGGAGGCAATAAAAGTACTTCCCCAATCTTTGTAGGTGCGGCTGGAATTCCTCATTCCTTTCTTATTACTAATGAATTACCACTGTAAGTTTATCTAGGACAGCCACTGGCCTCCTGAGCACTGTTTCACTGCACTGTGACAGAATAGTCTATTTCTTCACTTGTTATTTTTATACTTATTTTGATTCTTTAACCCCAACTAACTGTTGGCCAGATGTCCATCCTGTCCCACAGTACACTTTTAATTCAGCTCCATCTCTTGACCCCTCCTTCCCCCAACACAAGCTTCTCAGGTTAAACTCTAGGCTGTATTCTTGGCGGGGGGAGAAAGAGGGGACAGTGAAGAAGGACAATCAGGTACCAGCTTTTTAGTTTATCCCCCTGCCCTGCACCTTTGAATACTTAGCCTTCTGATGCTGCTTCAGAATTAAATATAAATACTGGGCTTAGCAAGTACTACAGAAGTATTTCAGGCTATCAGGCCTCTTCTTGCCCTCAAATAGAGGTCCTTTCCACTCAAGGATCCATTCTGGTTTTCCTAAGAAGTGAGCTGTGGTT